GGTGCCATTTCTCATGGACACACACTAGATTAGTGTTGCACAAGTCCTCTGTCTTAAACTCTGAACGTATGGCCTGTGTCACTGGGAAAAGGGGCACAGATATGTACTGTGGGCAGTGGCTGGGCTCTGGGCCAGAGGCACCTGTCTCTTGCCATGTGGGCCTCTCCATAGGGCAGCTCCCAAAAGGCAGCCAATGAATGGTCTTGTTTAATACAGCTGCCCCGCCGACAGAGACCAGTCAGGCTGCAAGTAAGAGAAACAATCTTCTATTTTATCTTTCTTTTTGGTCTCCTTGTTATAGTGATTTCACCTTCACCTTAATACAAAACTATTTAACTTTTCATTTTTACCTAAGAAATATAAGTACATGCATTAAAATTTTTATGTTAAAAAAAATCAATGAAATCTAAAGTTGAGGTGCAACAATTCAATGATAACGAATGCTACTTAATAAAGTTATTTGTATTTAGGATAGCCCTGGACCAAAATGGTATTACAATAGATTCTTAAAAACTATAATAAATTGGATACGAAGTCATTTTAGAGTCAAATAAACATATGGCTGTGCCCTTTAAGACAAGCAACATTCTTTCTATAATAATAGGAATAGCTATCACATATCTGGATCTTTTTGTCAACAACCAAAATTTGGCCAAAGGCTGTGTGAGGGTCCCCAAAAGGAAAGAGGCAAACATGAGAAAGCCCCACGTCGCTGATCCAGGGCCAGCAGCTCAGCTGGGCAAAGGCAGAGTTAATGGACCAGAAGTCCCTGCAAACAGCCTGCCCTCAACAGATCCTAAATGGGCCAGGATGAAGGGAGTGAATGAGAATGTGAAGCCATTGTGAACCAGGTCTTTTTTTTCTGTGCAGAAACACACATGGTGGTCCGAAAAGATCATTTAAAAACCATCTCCATTCAGTTTCAGCTACAGAGTCCTCAGCCAGTCACCAGAATGGCTATTGATGGAGTCTAGCCATTTTCTTCACATCATGAGCTCTGCCCCCTGTTATGTCATAGAGTGTAGATGTATGGTCTGGGCAACACCCAGAACTTTCCTCCTGTGGGAATAGAACAGTCCTTTCCAGGGTCTAATGCAATTGTGACACTTCACTTCCGCTCTGTCACACAATTGCTTTGTGCAGTTTCACTTGGCCACTGCTTGATCCATGCATGATTCCCCAAATACCTAGACTGGTTTGTATCAGGCACATTGTAAGTCCTAGAGCAAGCATGTCAAACTCGCGGCCCACAATGAATATTTTTGTGGCCCAGCCAATATAATAGTATGTAAGAAACATTGAATAAAAATTTCATAACTTAATTTTTACAATATCCCGTTACACATAATCCTATATAATAAAAGGTTAATATGCAAATCAACCAAACAGCAGAACAACCGGTTGCCATGACACGCACTGACAACCAGGGGACAGAAGCTCAACGCAGGAGCTGTCCCCTGGTGGTCAGTGCACTCCCACAGGGGGAGTGCTGCTCAGCCAGAAGCCGGGCTCACGGCTGGTGTGTGCAGCAGTGGTGGCAGGAGCCTCTCCCACCTCTGCAGCAGCGCCTAGGATGTCCGACTGCCGGCAGTCGAGACATCCCCAAGGGCTCCCAGACCGCGAGAGGGAGCAGGCTGGGCTGAGGGACCCCCGAGTGCACGAATTTCATGCACCAGGCCTCTAGTTATTAATAATGAACTACAACGTTCACTAATGACTGATTACTATAATCATGTTGCATTTATTTCCCTTACATGCCTTACAAGCAGGCGCACCATTTCTCTCCACTAATACTAGCAGCAAATATTTTAGCAGCCATTTGCCATGTCATTAATCTTGGACTAACTTGTTTGGTGTGTGGAACAGGAAGTATTTCGCTTTCAGAGAACAAGAAAAATAGGTTTGTTTGCATTGCGCTTATTAATTTGTGCAGTTATTCAATGTCTGGTAAGTTAATGTTCAAGAAAAAATATTTTTATTAAAATGTTCTATTATTTTATGTTAATGATTATTCATTTATTTCAGCCCTTTGTATTCCGCATGTCTCTATCGAAATAAACCTATGTTTTTATGAAAATTGAAGCTTTTGTTTTTAGGCGGCCCACATGAACTTAAACCTTATTTGGCCCATGTTAGCCTTTGAGTTTGACATGCTTGTCCTAGAGCAAAGGAACGAGTAAGGCTGGCATGATCCAGGCTCTTAGGGAGATTACAGTTTCTGCTGTAACTTTCAGTGCCTTTGATACTGTGTCAAAGGAAAGATTAACAAATAGACCAGCTCTGCTCCGAGGTCTCAGAGAAGGTGAGGTAATGCAGGTGCTTTTACACTGCAACCTGGAATATGAGTGAAGTAGCCAGGTAGGGAGATGAAGCGCGAAGGAAGGGAAGTGCTGTGTTGGGAGAACTAAATACTAGCATCACTGGAGTCAAAATAGCAAGGAAATGGGGCATTTAGGAGACTTAGTGACACCTCCATACAAAGGCAGAAGTGGTGAGGGAGAAAAAGGAGGCAAGAATGATGGACCTGGACGCAAGGCAGGGCCACTTTCTGAGAGGGAGACACCAAGGAGATGTTTGGGTGGGAAAGATGCTGAGTCCAGCTTTAGGGACACTGAGCTGGAAGGACCTGGGAGACAGCCAAGTGGAGAGGAACAGAAAGTTGGGTTAAGGATGTGTAGGACTCCCTTAGCAGGGATGTATACAAACCTGGGGATCTTGGCGCAGAGTGTAACTGGAGTCATGAGATGGATGAGCTTGCCTAGGGAGAAGGTGTACAATGAAAGAGAAACCCAACACTGAATTCACAGGCAGAGTGTGTTGGTTAGAAGTCAAGGGAGGAAAGGACTCGAGTGCAGCAGCCCTGGAGGAGTGGGGCCTAGAATCAGCATTTTTAATAAGCTCCCCAGTGGTCCCACCAGTGGGCAGATCACCTTGGAGAAACACTCCAATTTGCATATAGCTTAGATTACTGTAGGTAGACTCTTAATTAATGATTGTTGAACAAACTTTTTTTTTAATAACAATATACATTGGCAATCTCTCATCATTGTATATATTCTTTATTCTTTCATTCTTTTAATCACTGTGTAGTACTCCATCAAATGGATAAACCATAGCTACTGTTTATGGACATTTAACTTACTGCTTTTCCTTTTCCTTTTTTTCCTATTATAAACAATGTAACAATGAACATCTGCCTATTCTTCCATAAGTTTATCTTATTATTATTAGTGTAAGAGCTTTATATACAATCGATATTTAGCCCTTTGTCATACATAGTCATATTTTTCCTTAGCTTTTTGTCTTTGAAGTTTATTGTGTTTTTGTAACTTCATGTTTTTGCCCCGTGTTAGTTTGGGGTGTTTTTTAACATTTATATAGACAAATGTATTCATTTTTTCCTTTGTAACTTCTTGGGTTTGTGGCACTCTTAAAAAGGACAGCTGCCCCCTAACATCACTGGGTCTTTAAAGGATCAAGCATTGTATGCTCTGTCACTCCTTGGATCAATGGTACCTGTCACTTGGACGGAAAGGTTACTTCTGTCCAGGTGAGTGGCAACAGAGCAGGCTATCTGGTTATTCAGGGTTACCATGTGACAACAGCAGTAGTCAGCATCTGGGTCGTCATTGACTACAATACTTCAACAAGCCATTCACATATTTTTTATTTGATAATAACATAATAAACTACCCAGGGACATTACTGATGTTCCCCATAGATGAACATTTGCCTTTGAAACTAATACCTCGTTATTTCAGAGCTTAAGGGCAATAGAAAATGAGTATGGCAACCCTGAACAAGCGTAAATCCCATGATCCACTTCCAGAAGAACAAATTTTATGAATACTATTCACACTTTAGGGAAGTAATAACTGACTGTTTACAAGATGCACTGCACTATACTGTAAAAATGTTATAAAATAATTACATAGAGTAAGTCATATAAGTACTTAAAAGACTTTATTATATGCTTATGTCTAATTGAAATCCACATAAACAGTCACATTAAATACATTCTTTATGCATTATACTTGAAAATATAAAATACAAAACCAATTCCAGTATTTCTCATATTAAACCTTTTCTTTAATTTTTTTAGCTTTCTTTGACATCATAATAAAATGAAAAAGAGAAGTACACAAACAGAAAAGTCTTAGGTAATATTTTTAAACCCTTTACTTTACCTACCGTATTTAATATTTCCAAGATAATTCTGCCGTACAGGATCAAATGCATCGCGCTCAAAAATGTGCACTCACCAGCCCTCTGCAAAGAGGGGGCTGCTGGCAGCACAGCTCTACAAAGTCCTCTAGGCCTCCTGTCTCTGAGGCCGCTCAGTCACAAGCTGCCTGAAGGTTACAGTGATTCACAGGACTAGATGTTCGAAGAGGAAGTTATGACGGGGGATGTTCCTCCCCTCGGATGCTTCGGTACTTAGCCATATCTTCTGGAAAGACTTTAGAAAGCTCTTGAATCAACAGGCTTTTAAATTTCTAAGAAGAAAAATGTACACTGTCAAAACAGCTTTGTGTGTGACCCATCACCCAAGTTAAAGACTACCCCCACCCCTAGAGCCCTCTGAACAAACAGAATCTGCTTTGCCCTCACGCAAACCCATGTTCCAGTGCTGCCTGCTCATTGCCCACGGATGCAATACTTGGTGAACCAGCTGCAAATAACACTTGCAACTATGTTACAGGTACATTAAGAACTACCTGAAAGAGAAATTCACCTTCAAATACATCTTCACTCCTGCTTCAAAGTGAAAACAGGCCATCCTATAGGGAGCCAGCCACATAGGTGGAAATGATTTTTGCACACAGCACACGTAACAGGAATCTTCAAATAATACTTAATTAAGCAATTAATGATTTGAACCACATCACACACACTGTGTGCAAACAGCTCAATCAAAGCTTTCAGAGCACCTGGAAACCTGTCTACACCAAATGTCATGGCTTCCTGACCCTTATCGGCTTAACATTCGTTGTATGCCAGTCTTAAAGGCAGCAAAGTACCTATCAGCACCTCAAAATCTTTCTTATAAGCTACAAGAAGAAGAAGCTGTATGGATATAAACAAAGATGTAATACACAGGTAAGAATACTCTCAAAGGAGACTGCACTCCAACAGGATAATAAACACGCACTGCGCAAAGGAAGGCCATGGAACGGCAGTGACATTTACAGGTCTCAGACAGAATGAGGCCAAGCGACAACAGAGGCAAACTGAAGGTAAATCACACAGTCCCCGTGCAGTACCACCAACAGGAAACCTCTGCATCACCCACAGAAGCGTGGTGGGACCCAGCAGAACACATCTGGACCACACCCTGTCCACATAGAGGAGATTTCTGCTTGACAATGCAACTCCCTCACAGAGCAGTCCGAAGAGTCACAACTCACTAACTGATTAACATTGTTCTATGCCCCAAGGGTGACACTGAGTTCAACAGCAACTCAGTCCCAAGCTGACAAAATAGAAATGAAGCCACATTAATAGTTACAGCAAAGCCACCTCCAGGCACGCTGCCTATCATCAGTACAGATACCCTGGGGGGGGACACTGGAAAGCCCTGTGACCTCACACGTGACGCCTGTCACTGTCATCCTGAGTGTCTCTCTGCTTGCTCCTCACACTGTCTGACCCTAAGAGGTCACAACAGAAACGGAAACCATGTGGCTGGGCCAGAATCAGGAATGGGGATGGAGAGGCAGAGGGCTCATTGTATGAGGCCAACAGAAACGGGAAACCAGAAAAGGGATGGCACCTTCCAATTAGAGGAAAAAACAAACCACAGAGCCTCCAATTTGGGACCATATTTGAGTGAATTTAAGTAAGAAAAAACAACATATTTCCTGCTGTAGATGCCTCATCACAGCAAAGAAACAGAGCAGGTTCTCTGTGGAGAACTGTGTGACGGGGGATATGGTTTAAGAGTCTGGAGTCTGAAGCTGGAGACCAGCACCCGCGAAGAAAAACAGAATGAGGATTCAAGACTCCTCCAAACCCAAGAACCACAATTACCGGAAAAGGCCCAACAGAAGGCATCACTGATATTTAACTTTGTTTACTACCTGGTATACAATTCAGAAATCTCAATTGTGTAATGTAATAAAATAGGTGATGTTTTACCAAGTATGGAAAAGAACGACAGTCTATTAGCCAAATTTGCTTTTTAAGGCTTTATGTCCTGACATTTTCTGTTTATAGGAGCCTTACCTTCATTGTATCAATCTTCCCTTTAACTTGTTCATTTTTCGCCAGAGCTCTTTCCAGGCACTCTTTGGTGTAGAGTTGTGGGTTTCGACCTTGATCTATATATCTGGAAACAGGAAACATGTAATTAACACTCTCTTGGCTGATATCTATTCTCAGTTTTCTTATGGGGGAAAAAAAATAGTTGTATATAACTTCACATGGCCTGTTCAGAAGAAACGGTGTCCAGGAACCAGGTACGTTAGGATTCCTTCATTTATACAAGGATAGATGATGTGCTCCCATATCACTTGTAATAACATGAACAACTCATAAAATCAAGTAATGATCACTTAATAACCTGGCAAGCTCCACAGCCACACCACTTCCCATGTGCAGCATCCATGCCTCCCAAAGGCTTCATGGCCATTACCATCTGATCCTCACAACCTGCGAGGTTAGGAAGCTCTTGATAAGAGAGAACTAAAAGTGGGCCAGGGCTTCAGGCCCAGCAACATGGGGGAGCCAGGGAGAGCCCTCTAAGATGCAGCCTACACTCCAGATCTCTGTCCCCTTGGGGATCCTCTGTGGAGGGAGCTTGGGCTGCTGGAAGAAGAAGGGGGGAGAGCTGCAAGTGGATAGCCGGGCCCTGCTCACCCCAAGATTACTTTAAAAACTGTTCCACTCTTTCAGTTCCATTAAATAACCTCAGTAACTTGAATCTAACAGAGAGAGGGATTCTCTCCAATAATTTAACAGCACAAAACCGTTTCTTGAAATTTTCAACACTTGTCTCCAAAATGTATTCATTATCCCAAAGATTTCACTAAGCATACTGCATAGACAAATATGCACATTTTACCAGCTGTAGGCCACCTGCCTACTTCTGTACCCTGAAGACCTTCATATCACTCAATTAAATCGAATTATTCATTACAAAGAAACAAAAATTACCACCACCACGTTGCCAAGTCCGATTTATGTATTTTAATGCTTCAGTTAAAAAAAAAATCACTTCAGATCAAAGGCAGTTAAGTTTCTGTTAATGGCATAAAAACTGGACTCTAATCATGGCAGACAGCAAAAATTAATAAATCACAAGTTCTAGAAATTCCATTGTATTGCAATGTTTTTTGAAATGATGGAATGAAGGAAGCAGAATTATGGTTAATTCTAAACAAAATCCATCCATTTCCAGAGGAAAAAAACCTTACAGATTCAAGTGTCCTAAACAGACAACCATTCAACAGCAATATTATTCAGATTGGACCCCACTTCTGCCAACACACCACCCTGTGAGGTCAGGAAGTGCTGGACAGAAGGGCCCAGACTTACATCTTTATCTTTGTTACAGACACAATGTGTCTGCCAAGTATGTGAAGGCCACCGTGAACCTGGAAACTCCTTCTACTTCTTGCAAAAATGACTAACAGTTTGCATCACTGCTTATTAGAGCCCAGAGGCCACCCATTCCCAATACCCCAAGTGAGTCTCCCCTGCCCCTTCCACAAACCGGCTAGGGCTGGGACTGTGGCTGAGCTGGCTGAGGCCCTACTCCCCCTGTCCTTTAGCAACTTCTCCCCATCATCTTACTCTCATTTGTCCCTCTTTAATGACTCAAGTAGTTACTGGCATCTGTCAATACACACATCCTGCACATTCATGACCAGAAGAGCACTAATGAGAAAGGCAAAGTAGCCTCCACCTTCCCACACTTCACAAGCCGGCATCATCACCAAGAGTCCAGAGCTTAACACATGTACATGACTTCACCCACCTGAAGCCAGAGAACTCAGTGGGGCTGACTGAGAAAACATGACACCATGGCCAAAAGGCAAGGATGGAGCCAAGCCGGTGAAAACTGCAGCCTGAGTGTCCTATCTTTGTGGACAGCTGCTGTCTCTCTAACTTCTGGG